AGTTGTTTGTTTGTTTAGTTGTTGTAATGCTGTTGTTTGTTTGTTGAAGTTGTTGTAATGTTTACCTCTATTCCTGCTTACAATTTATAAAATAAACAGTATATACTAGTTTACAAGATAAAGGTGTATCAATTGCTATTTAATTAAGTCTAGTGTTTATGAATTTAAAACCTGTTTTGTGTTAGCTTTTAAAAAGGTATTTCCTTTTTAAGGAATTTTCCATGTATCGAATTTATTATCAGGATTTAGTGTCATCTTTAAATAGAGGTTCGATTGTATAGATATAACTTTACAATATATGCAATATATCAAAACTTTATTAATTAGAGCACTCAAAGAATTGACTAAGAGCTGCAGTCATTTAGATTGATAATTCTTAGCCACTTTAGTCTTGAGCAATAATCTTCAAATCTTTCTTTATTCTTGAAAGTTTTGTGTTTAGAGATAAATAAATTTAAAGAAATATCAATATTAAAAAGCACATCCTGATTTTCAAATTTTTTTTAAGGAAAATGGATAACTACAAAAAAATTTACTTATCAGTTCAAAATGCTTTTCAGATGGTATTTACATTGGTAATTCACAATCGTTTGAATAAAAAAAATACTTAAATAGTTATTTTTCCAAAAAAAAATATACATAGAAAGGAAAAATAAAGCAATAAATTGAATAGAAAATAATTTTGAATTAAAAAGAATATAGCCTCAATTTATTTCAACAATCCCTCAGTACAACAAAACATTTTGAAATAACTCAACATTGTTTTATGAATATCTAAGAAATGATGGCATTGCACTTATAGGAAAAGCAACAAAGAAATGATATTCAGAAAATTTCCAGGTAAGGAACAATTCGTAAAATTGTAAAAATATCAAATTCAACAAAACAAAAGGTTTTAAGCGTGGTAACATTATAATAAAAAAAAGTAATAAGTTCATAGGTCTTCTCTTAATATAATTTTAAAAGTATACACCCATAAGCAGTACTTAAATATAAATTTAGATACATAAGGAAAAAACAATTATGCAAGGAATATTTAGTTAAGAAATAAACTATGCTTTTATAAATTGAGCCACCGTTTCACAAAGAATGGGTAGGAATTGGCTTGGTAATAATTGTTTTTGAAAATCAGAGTTACGTTTAAAACACTTATTGTTGTTGTAGGCCATTAGGGTGTGATTGCATTTGTTTTCTAGTGGCACAATCTATAACCAAGAATTTGACTTCTGCCACATCCAGACCCCATTTTCACGAACACGAGTCCTGTACACTGCTAACCAGAATATCCCGTTAAAACACTTGCTTTTCACATTAAACAAAACACTTATTTCAAGCATGTTTTTTTAAACATTATTCTGTGTTAAGTTCAAAAATTGACATAGAAAATTCTAAGTCAGAGAAGCAACTATATCTTTAGTACAAAAACCATTAAAACAAATTATTTGCTTACAGCAACTGAACCTAAATTGGCGATTATTTTAGCTCATTAAAAAGATATTGATAAAAAAGTGTTTCCAGCAAGTCTCATGCAGTTTAACGCCCACAAAATTTCCAACAAGGTTTTTTTTTGTAGAAATAAAAATACGACTACTTTTGGGGTTGCTAAAGCAGCAAAACTTGTAACAATATTCAAAGATTTTACAAAATAATACATTTTTATGTTTTCAAAGTAAACGTACTTTAAAATAATTATTTCTTACTTTGCAAATAAAAACAATTTTAATGCATACATGAAAATATTAAATCTGCACGAATATCCCTTGCATTAAAAAAAGTATTTTTAGAAAGAAAAATATGACTATTCTTTTTTTATGCAATGTATATGTAGAAGGAAACAAATTGTAGAAAGAAAAATAAGACTATTGGTGGGTTGCTAAAGCAGCAAAATTTGTAACAATATTCGAAGCTCCTATGAAATAAAATATTTCATGTTTCCAAAGTAAAAGTGCTTTAAAACAAATTTCTTTCACATTGTACAAAAAAAACAATTTTAACACATACATGAAAATATAAAATATGCACGAATATTTCTTGCATTTAAAAATAATTGTAGAAAAAAAATATCACTATTCTTTCTATATTTCTTTCTACAAAGTATTTGTAGGAAGAAAAAAAATAGGACATTTGGGGGATTGTTAAAGCAACGATATTCAAAGTTCTTATAATACATTTTTATATTACTAAAACAAATGGGCTTTAAAATAAATTTCTTTCACTTTATAAAAAAAATTTTTTTAATGCATACATGAAAGAATAAAATATGCACAAATATTCCTTGCAGTAAAAAAATGTTTTATGCAAAACACTTATTTCTACAATCATTTCATTTCATAGAATGCGAAACATATAAAATTTTTTTAATGCTAATTAATATAAAATGGATAAACTAAATAATGTTGTAAAATTTTAAACTGACTATGTTTTGATATCGAATAATTTATTACCTCTTCAGAAATATGGACCACTATTTTCTCAATAACTTCAACAAACACTTCATTCTTCAAGTTCTATAAATGAAAAATTCAGTTAAATTTAACTTTTTGGAAAAAAATTAAGGAAAAAAACTAAATAAATAAACAAGCAATGCTTTTAAATCACTCACTGATACAGTATGCACTTTCTTCGATACTTTAAATTGTTTAATATCCACTAGTTTCTCTAATTTTTGCATGAAATTAGTTGTATTTTATTTGTATCAGTTAAAATATTAAAATTTTCTAGTTAAATTTTTTTAACAATAAAATAGCATTTCCTTCTGCTGAAAACAAATTATAAATGCCAAAACTGTTTTAAGAGTTCATGATTTATTAAAAAAAGGAAATTTAAGTTTTTAGAAAAACAAAATGCAAGGAAAATTACAGTGAACTAATATTACTTGCATTATAAATTTAGAGCTTTCTGAATTTGTTTTCAACTAAAGTGGAATAATCTTTTAAAAAAAGTTCACAGAACAATAACTCATTTTCAAATAGTTTACGTACATGAATTTTTTATTATTCAATAACTACACATCCTACTGTTTTGTTGGGTGAAAAGTTTTTACAAAGTCTTCCTAATAAAATATTTGTAAAGGAATTTTAATTAATAATTCAAAAAGCGATTTTGATTCAAGTTTTAATCTGTCATATATATTGCATGATATAGACTGAAGCAGTGCAATAACACCTTATAAATTTGTCAGATTTAGTAAAAATATCAATAAAACTGCATTTTTTACAAATCTAAAAGATAAGACTAAAAAATATAGTTTACTGCAGAATTTAAAGTTTTAATAAAATGTGAAAACAAATTTATCAAGCAAACTGAAATAGATTCTTATTTTACTATTATTTTTTCTTACTTTATTATGCTTGGTATAAACAAATAAAACAAATTATTCAGAAGATAACTAGAAAATGATGAATTTGAAGAATTTAACTAAATACTTTTCAATACTCAAAATCTTATTTACTTACTGTAAGCAAATGTAACAAATCTAAAACAAAAGTTACAATACTAAAAGTTTTAATGAGTCAAAGAAAGAAAGTAACAGCTGAAAAATGTTTGACTTAATGATTAGATTTTCATTACTAATATAAAATGTTAATAACTTTAGAATTATTAACGGTCTAAATTATGCAAAGAAATTTGTATAGACAATATTTTAAACAGAAAAATCAGTCACGAAAACGTCTTCAAATAACCTTTCTATCTTAACACTCAAGGAGGACATCTCTTAAATCTAATCCCAATAGAAACCAGTCAAATGTTTGGTTCTTTAATGTTAATTTTACTTTTTGCATATGTCTTAAGAACTATTTTAGAAAATAAAACAAAATTGCACGAAACTCGTTTATCTAAAGAGTCTCATACAGATCATAATTTTGTGAAATTATTTCTTGTTCTATTATTTATTATTTAGTTGCATCAAAAATTATTAAAGTATTTTTTTGAACTTGATGCACTGTACTTAATAAGTAGTTTTGCATAAAAAATCACGCATTAACTGATGCTTCTTTTTTTAAAGATTACATAAATTACATTTATTTAATAAAGAAACTAATATAGAAATATACATAAAACAAAACATACCATCAGCTGAGATCTAGATTTTACTAATGGTCTTCCTGCAGCCAGATTAGGAATAAAATTTTTTCCCTGATCAAACTAAAAAAAAAAAAAGAAAGAAAAAATTAGAATTTGAATTTTTATTTCTTTTATTTACCAAACTATGATAACTTAATATGTTAATAAACTGACTACCTTGATAAGTTTACATTTTACATTTCACTCTTAGCAAATTATCAATTTCAATAAGAAAAAAACTTCCTAACTTAACACTTGATCTTGAACTATTGCTTAGAATTTGATATATACTTACTAACTTACTTTTCGACTCTACATATATTATATATATANAATACTTCATGTAGATATTTTTGCTTTTGCAATGATATGTAAATAATACAATGTAATAATGCAATGATAAATAGAGATAAGATCTTTTTATATAAAAAAGCTTGTTTTCTGTTGCACTGATGAAGGTTGCCCTTTGAGCATCCGAAACAGCTGTCTGTTTTTAATAATATTTTTGTGCTCTTTAACGTTGTCTACCTTAGTTTGTAGCTTTTTATATATTTCCCACACATGGAATGTTGCGTACAAGGGGGGGGGGACAACCTGCGGCTCTCGAGGTACATGCTGCTCTTTGAAGCTTTAAAATGAAATTTAAATAAGCAATTTTGATGACCTTTAGCGATACAGCTAATAATGTGGCTGAAGGTTGTTTTGTTATTGAATGGAATATTGCTCATGCAAAACGCCCGTATTGAGAGGGAGAGTTTATTAACAAAAAACTTGGAAGATGTTCTTAAAGTTTTAGATCCAAATAGTGCAGCAGTGCACCAAGTTGTTTCGCAAAGTCCCCTCTCGAGACACACAGCTTAATGACGCATAACTGCGATTAATACAGCTCTTGCATATAATTTAAAACATGATCGGAAGAACTATATTGCATTCAGCTTAGCCCTTGACGAATCGACAGATATCACAGAACTTCCGCAATTGGCAGTTTTCATACGTTTTGTTTAACGTGACTTGGTCGTTAAAGAAGAATTATTAGATTTATTAGCACTTCAACCCGCTTGAGTCGCTGAGGTGATGATATTAAAAATTTAATAGATTCCATAATGAAAACTTTTGATGTGCTTCTTAATAAATTTGTAAGCATTGCAAGTGATGGAGCTCCGGCAATGTTGGGTAAAAAAATCAGTCTTGTTGGGCTTTTAAGAGATGATTCTCAAATTCCAAAATTCATACCGATAAAAAAAGGCTGCTTGTCGAATTATTTCAATATTCGGAACAATGTACTTATGTGAATCATTTTATTCCACTTTAAAATTCGTGAAATCCAAATCATCAGTATTACCTAACCAGCCTCTTAAAGAATTACTGAGAAGTGCTGTCACCAATTATTCACCAAATTTTAAAGAATTATCAAGAGAAGTAAAATAAATGTGTTTAATTTTTAATATTTTAATTCAATACACATATTTTGTACTTTTATTTATATGCCTACAATAAATATAATTTCTGTAAAAATAATTATTTTAATACCTTTTTTGCATACCTTTTAAATAAGTGTTCAGTTGCGGCTCGCGAAAAATTTCAAATTTTGAAAAATGGCTCGACTATCAAGGAGCACTGCCACCCCTGTTCTATACCATCAAGCTAAGGGTTGTCTCTATGGAAGTAGAATAATACCATGCTTAACACGCTATGAAAACTTAAGCATTTATTTTGTTACATACATTGTTTTCATATAACTAAATTTTTTAGATAAATAATATTTATTCTTGCTTTTAACTTTAACAAAAATTTGGAACATACAAACATTTCAGGACATTTATGTTTTATTTTATTTTATCCGTCGTTGAGCTGCCGACCAAATTTTGGGTTTACGATTACTAATATTTAACTCCTTAGCCTTGTAATTTTAAACCAATTCAGAAGACAACGAAATTCCTGGATTTAATACCTTTTGGAAAACCTCCAGAGGTATTGATTTGTTATGGGAACATGGAGGACTTTGCGACTTGACAGATTTAACGTGCATCAGTCGCCATTTACTACGCAGTCTTTGGTCAATGGGGATCGAGCCCACGCACTCTTGGACATGGGCACACTGTGCTACAAACCAGGCTATCCGGGACTTCAGGACATTAATTGAAATGTTTAATAATTAACGACATTTAAAGACACTTTCTTTTGTTAGGGAAATTAAGAAATTGAAAGGAATTGAGCCCTTAATAAAACTTATTTAATTTACAGAATATTTGTTCCTAATTTATAGAAATTACATTACAAAACTGGAATCATCAACAAAAATTAATAAATGAACACTTTAAACTTTTTAGTAGAAAGAGACATGAAATCAATAGCAAAAAAAATATGCCTCAATACAAAAAGGTGAAAAAACAAGTAATATAGAAAAAAAAAATTAAATTCCTACTTAGGTCTTAAAAGAAAAATTTTATTTTAGTTACTTTTTAATAAACAATTTCAGTTTTTTCTTCCATATAAAATTTAAATTAATTAATTAAATTTAATGAATGAATTAATATTTAAAAAAAAATTATATTAACATCAAGCGTCATCCACTACAAATATTTGACCTTGAATGGATGAATAAAAAGTATTTTACGAACGATTGAAAATTTGAACAAGATAATAGGAAGAGTGTGAACTAATAGTAGGAATTAATTGGAAAAATAGAACTTTTTATTTTATTTCCAATGAGCTGCACAATCGGTCTTGCCGATAAGCAGACCTAGTGCGTTCTCCAGAAGTGGTATCCACTCTTTCAGGACCACCACAATGGGTTAGATACCGTTGGTCATGTTAATTTGGACGTCTAGTTTCTGCCACACTAGATGGCAGCACCGAGACTCTATTTGGATGCTAAAGTGCACTAGGAATTGAAAAATAGAACTTACAAGCCCTTGTTTTTTCACTTCAGACTTAAAGTTTATCTTTGTAAAAACTATATCGCTATAAACTGAATGGCGGACTTGCTCGGTTGAAGTTGCTTTGATAACACCACTATCCTTTCAAGAAATAACAGTAAAGTGAAAACATAAATAGACAACCACAATTATTAACATTAATAAAATATATTTTTATCGTAAATTAATGAAATTTTTATAAAGTAGGAAACCTTTTTGAAATTTGATTTAGTATTTTGTGTGGCTATAATAAATCCCAAGGGGACAATAAATCGCAGTTAAAAGAACAAAGAATAGTGAGCAGAATTAGTTGAACAGGATGATAATGTGAAACTGGCATTAATACTTGCAATACCATTTAAGAAAAATTATCAAACTTGCTAAATTAGTATCTAAAAGGTAACAATAAAAATGCAACACATTATTTTTCCTGCCCCCCCCCAAAAAAATCCATTCACCAAATCAAAAATAAGCAAAATTAAATGTTCATAAAAAAAGAATAATAATATGCACAACTGGATAGTAGTAATCTCATTAACAAATAGCTAAAATCAGGTTATTCATTTTCAAAACCTGTGCTTTCTATAAACAATGATTTTTTTTAAAAATATTTCTTTTACATTTCAGTTTAATTTTTGATTAACAATTCAAAAATATGCACCGTTGTTCAGTTATCGTGATTTAAAAAAATAGTAACTTGAGATTTTAAATATGCTTACATATTACTTTACAACACCACTTAAACAGCAAATGAAAATTCAAGATTACGTCAGTATTACGGCTGTAAAATGTAATAATCTCAGCTTGATATAAACATTTTTGTTTCTTTTTCATCCATTTGAATCAATATAAATTAAATGAAGTATTTAGACAATTTGTTTAAAAGTATAAAATTATAAATTAGATGTATTAATACATATACATAAAATAGTAACACATGCATATAAATTATTTATTAATAAATAAAGAATAAAAGACTTTCATTATTTATTTTAATATTACATAGAGTTTTAAGGAAAACAATATGCTTAGTAATATAATACATTATTAAATAAAATAATATTAAATGAAAATAGCTTCAATGAGTTATCAATATTTTTGTTAAACTTTTTCTGCTAATATTAAAAAATATGATTGAAAAATAAATGAATACAGAAAAAAAAATTTAAAAAAAAGGAAAAATAAAATGTAAAATTCAAAAAATTGCCTCATTCCCGGTAGTTCTTTTAATTATAGCAATGTTTTATGTATCTTTAAAAAAAAGATGGAGGAAAAAATTTTCCAAGTTTTTATCTCAACTTATTCAATAAATTACTTTATTAAGCTACTTATAAAAATTATCAAAACATGGAATTGGAGATGATTTATTTTATTTTAAGCATTTAGAATTATCATTACTTAACTTTAACTTGTTCACATTAACATTTATTGGTAAATAAATCAAATTATCTTTCGAATCAGCGAGAAAATTTGAAATGCATATACTATTACTGTGAGTGACCGAAATTAAAAGTATACAACAGAACAAACAGAAATATAGTTCATAAATTTTTGACTGAGTGATGAATTTCAACTTTTGAAAACTGATGCGTGAAAGAAATTTTTTAAACAAATTTATAGGGCAATAAAACAAAGGATCTTCCGAATCAGCAAAAAATTTTGAAATGCATATATTACTGTTAGTGACCAAAATGAAGAAAATGTGAACTTCCACCGTCAAATGTCAACTTACCTCAGTGGTAGACAAATCATGGGTTAGAGTCCCCTTGCAGTAAGGCAAACATCGGAAGGTTCTCGTGGTCTTCCTCTCCATGTAACGCAAATGAAGGTTAGTTCCATCAAAAAGTCCTCCACGAAAGCAAATTTCTCCCAATTCTTGATACAGAAGTTCCCTTGTCTTCTGGATTGGATTAAAAAATTACAAGGTTACGCAGTTGAACATTAGTAATAGTAAATACAAAAATCGGGTCAGCTGTTCAACGATGGTTATAAAATAAAATGTAGTTAACTGCAACTACTTTTTTTAGAAACTATTTTCGAAATGTAGTTGTTACCATGAATGAAAAATCATCGAAATCAAGTTGTTACCGTCAAGAATCACTTTATCACTTTGGTGAATGTCCGAAATATTTGTTACATCTAATTTTATATTAATTTATTCTTGCTGATATTATTATATTATATTTTAATATCATCTAAGGTTCGATTAGGAGAAACATCAGTGTTAGGAGTACTGGTGAAATGAACAATGACACTGAACCTTATGGAACAGTGACACAGAACCTTAAAAAAACATCAGTGTAGGGTATATCGGGTAAATGTATATCGGACCGCGACACTGAAGAATAAAAAAACATTGAATGTAGGGTTTACCGGACAAATGTATACCGGGTAGTGGCATTTAACTAGACAGGGTGCGTACCAAAAGGTCGCAACAAAAAATAAGGCCCTTTTAAGTATTTTTTAAGCAGTAAGAAAATATTTTTAAGCACTATGTACATTAACAAAATGCAAAATAAGTTTCAAATGCTTCCATGATCAAGATAAAATAACTAGTTTCTGACAAAGAATTCTTTTCCTGATCACATTAGCCACGATAAAAAGATTTTTTGGTTCAATTTCATAGAGAGGAAAATGAAGATTGAAATTGAGAATATGTTGCAAATTGCAGCAGAGTTGCACATAATAGTACGAGAATTTCAACGGACTCAGCCCAGCAGATGCACATGCAGATTTCCAAGTATTTCATCAAACATGTAACATGATTGGGGTGCTATCATACGTTGCGGGCCGATGGTACGCCGAAATGGATTGTGGATGAATGAATTATGAAAACGTTGAATGGAATAAAGTGAAAACCACGCTTTTGCATAATACGCACCGAAAATCGACAGGGTAAAAGAAAAAATCTCATTTTCGAAAAGGAAAAAATTAAGCACTTTAAAATTAACCCCATGAAAAAAGCACCTTTAAGGGCTTTTTAAAAACGAAAATCAAAAATAAGCACATTTAATCACTTTTAAAAAACACTACGCATCATGCTAGACTATGTGATTGTCAACATTCACCAGTGGAAGACAACGACCACCAATTTCAGACATTCACAGTAACGCATATATTGTTATGAGTTTAAATCTACATTGCCTACAGTCTTAAATGAAAACAGCTTAAAAACTGTTTTCAACTAAAATATAATTTTTAGCTGTACAGGTGACTTAATTAATGCCAGGAAATCTGTGGAACCCTGAACATATTCGATGCATTTTATCTTCAAAATAACTTCGCACTTTGTGTGAGAAAGTTCAATTATATTAATAAAACAATGCAAGTTCAACCTAAACAGTTTAGGAACTTGATCTGATCAGATACTGAATTAATCTAGGGGGACCTGAATTTCAAGAAACACAGTGACAGCTTCCCAGTTTCATTATCCTTTTTCCCTCTTTTTTGAAAAAGCGTTAATAACGTTGGCATTGACCAAAAAGGAAGGAAAGTTTTGAATTGTAAGAAAAGGAGGAAGAACTGCAAAATAATTTAATGTTTTGATTTCTACTGATATTTACTAAATTTGGTTTCAAACTTTTGTACGTGAGGTCCCGGTTTGTACACTCAAATGATTGTTAACTCAAAATTTCATGCACGCGCGTTAGGCTGAAGATGAAATTCCCTACGTTTATTTAAATAAAAATAGTGACACATTAATGTAGCTTCCAACTTCGTTATTAAGTAAAATTCTAAATAAATATTTCATTTCTTAAATAATATTTTAAATATTATACTCATAACGTCAAAGAAAAAACAAATTATGATAAAATACGTTTTAGAACTATATTGAGTACTTAAAATGGTTCTTTTTTGTTGTTCTAAAGAGCAGGGAGTCAAAGGACCCCACTCTTAAGGAAGGCTTTGGTTGAGGTCCATTGTGCTTTTTCAGGTCTATGGCCAGTCCGAAATGATTTTATAACATTCGTTAAGCAGCCAACCCAATTAAGGGTTTCTGCTACTAATCTTCAACTCCGTAGCCTTGCAATTTTGAACCCGACCCAGAAGATAAGGGAAGTCCTGGATCAAGTATTGGGAGAAATTTGCCTTCGTGAAGGATGTTTTGATGGAACTAACCCGCATTTGCGTTACATAGAGAGGAAGACCACGAGAACCTCCAACGGTCAGTCTGAAGCAAGGGGACTCAAACCCATGATCCGTCTACCACTGAGGATATTTCTCGTCATCGATGTGGTCGGTGCAAGTGAGATGCGGAATTCGTATCGACTGGGATTCGAACCCGGGTTACCACACTGGAAGGCGAACGCTCTATCCCAGTGCGAATGATTCAACCAGTTGGCAGGGAAAAGGAGGTTGAATTCCAGATCATAAATGGGTTATAACTTGCTTGAACTTTTAGACTTATTAGAATTCGCCTACTTTTTTGAGATAAAGTTAGAATTCAGCGTGTCCTGATTTTTGTGTATGAATATTTTTTTGTTGTCTTTTCTCGAAATACACTAAGAGTGAATTTATCCTTTTGAAAAAAACTGTCAAGAAGTGCTTTTTTTTAATTCAAGAGAATTGCAAAAAATAAAGCGTAGGAACAGTGACCAAAGAAAAATAGCGCCACTCTTAATAACTTTTGATCTTATCATCGGATTTTTACTTACTCAATTTTAATGGTTTGTGGGGGAACTAACTAGTACAGACAATATTTTAAATAAGGAAATCAGACAAGAGAGAAAAAAGTAATTTTTCTCAATAAACAACGGAATCGGATATCCAACTCCCAAAATATAGGGATTAGCCGCAATTTGGAAAAATATTGTCCTGATTGTTTGGCCAAGAGAACGGTACACAGTTTGAAGCCCTTATTAATCTACTTTATGCATATTTCGCAGTGTCTAGAGAAATTTTTAAGTAAATTAAAAAAAAATTGTACACGATAAAATTCTTTTGTCCAAAGATACAAAAAAAATAATTTTTAGTAAATAATTATTATTTTTTATTTTAGTTATTAACAGTCAGGAAATTTTAAATTGTAAGGTATACCTTTTAATTTTGTTCATGTTGGTTTCATGTTTCATTTTGCATTGTAAAATTATATTGTTCAAAATGATGAAAAAAATGGTATCCCTTAAAGATCGAAATTATTACTATTATTAAAGCAAAATAAAAAATGTATTATTTATTAAAAGCTATTTTTAACATAGAATTATCTTTAGATAAACGAAATTTATAATTGTGCGCAAAAAATTTTCAGTTTACTTCATAAATTCTCGATATATGGCAAACAATGCATGCATGTGACATACGTAAAACATAGAATTAACATTATGGGGTCTCAACTCAATACTGCTCTTCTAATCAAACTATAGGGATCATATTCCCTGCCCTCCAATGAGGTGAACCGGGCACAAATCCCAGCGATGGCTAGTCGATACAAATTCCGCATCCGGCTTGCACTGACCACGGTGCTGACGTAAAATATCCTCAGTGGTAGACGGATCATGGGGGCCCTTGCCGTCAAGCTAACAGTGGGAGATATTCGAGGTTTTCCTCTCCATGTAACGCAAGTGCGGGTTAGTTCCACCAGAAAGTCCTCCACTAAGACAAATTTGTCACAATACTTGATCCTGAAGTCCCCTTGTCTTCTGGACTGAGTTCAAAATTTCGAGTCAAAATTTGTAACTTGTAACCCTGAGTTGAGGAAAAGCTTCTGAAAAATACAATTGTATTTTGCTTGTTCCTACTTATTTCATTTTTTGTAAGGTAAAAACTTACCTGCCACTAATAAAATAAATAATATTTTACTCAGTGAGTTAACTGTCAAGTTATTGGCGTGTATAGTTGTCTATTTTGGATGTTATATAAATGTTTTCAGGAATATTTGATCTCGAATTTTATGAGATTTGATTTGGCTACTTTAAATATTTAGAAGGATTTGGAAACAAGGCAGTCATTTTTTTATACATATAAATCACTTATTAGAAGAATTATCAATAATAAATTATTTACCCTACCTATTGCAAGTAAAATACATTAATAAAAAATACAGCTATTTTTATAAATATTTCTTTAAAAAAATCCTTATTTTACTTCATTTAATTTTCGAAAAAAAAACAGCTAGCTTTTTTGTATTGCGTTGCAATATAGTAGTAGTTACAGAATAATATGAAAAAGAATTAAAAGATCATAAAATCAATTTATATTCAGCATAGTTGTATTAAGAAAAATATCAAACTCAGTGATTAGACTATTCTCACATCTATAATATTGAGCATTAAAATAAATTTTTAAAACAAATTGACATGCATTGTAAATTATGCTAAAATTGGCATATTTGCTAAGCTTTAAAATAGCCTGAAGTTTCTAAAGTTAGCTTGCAAATTAATAAAAAATTAATAGTTAATACAAGCTAATAAAAAATTTAACTTGCAAAAACAAAAATAGCTACAAAATGCATGTTCTTTTTTTGGATTTAAAATGAATAACCAGTTTAGATTATAATTATTATAAAAAAAACAAAGTTATTACAAACAGAATTTTAAATTAAAATTATTATAAAAACTGATATTAAAAAAAAAAAACTTCTTTAAATAACTAATTTAATAATACTCAGCAGTTAAAAAAAGGAAAGTCACCTGTTTTTATCCAGATCTTCAACAATCGAAAGCAGTCTAAATGGCACAAATGATGCACTAGTCGTGGAATAATAAGTTAATGCTTTGACCTGAAAAAAATTTAATAATCATTAACATTTTCAAACGTATATATACCATTACATATTATCATCACCTAAAAGACAGGATATCTAAAAAATGCAATATAACTAGAAAATACCGTAATTTCAAGATTATAATTTAAGTCGATTAAAGAAGCTTCAAAGAAGTAAAAGATAAAAAGTAAAATCACCATTAGCTATATGTTTATAACATAAGAGGTAAAATGAATAATCTTTTAAGGAAAGATAGTATTATAGATCAAACTCTTTTTTACAAAACTAAATTGTCAAAATTGGGTGAAGACCAAAAGGGAATAAGAAACAAATAGAAAATTTAAAAGAAAACAATTAAAAATATAAAAATGACATTTTTATATTTTTCATCAATTTCGTAATTTTCATTGTTTTCTTCTTTTAAATTTTCTATTGGTTTCAATTATTTTTATGGAATTTCTGCTGCACTTCACAACTGTCCTTTGGAATTGTAGTATTTAACTGCTTTGTACGTAACTTTTAATATCTCTTTTTATTGTGAGGGAAATAATTATTTTGGATATACAGATGACTAAAATATTTAATGTTAGCAAAATCGAATTTCACTTATATTTCTTTGATACCTAAATATCCATCTATTGACTCTGACATAAATACCAAGAAATCTCCATGTTTTTTGTGAAATTTTAAAACTAAAATTTTTATACAAAATCTTAAAAACATTAAAAAAATATTAAAGAAAGCTAAAAAAAGCAGTAAGTTGTGTATCTATCACATTAGCATAAACAATCTGAAGTAGAGCAGGCTGTTAATCAAATCCTTTGGAAAAATGAAAGAAACAATAAGGAATTGAAAGCTGCGAATAATCAGCGATGTAATAAAAAGATCAAAGGAACCAAATAAATTATTAAAATAACATACAAATTATTACAATAACATACAAAAATTATTAAAATAACATACAAATAATTTTTCTAATTACATACAGTTGAGTTAATGTGACTCCATAAACTTTTTAATACACATTTTATGTTATTGGCATGTTTTATTTTATAACCGTCTTTGAATAGCCGACCCAATTTTTGGGTTTACAACTTCCGATGTTCAACTCCGTAGCCTTGTAATTTTGAACCCAATCCAGAAGACAAGAGAAATCCTTCATCAAGTATTGAGAGACATTTGCCTACGCGGAGGACTTTTTGATGGAACTAAACCACATTTGCGTTACATGAAGAAGAAGAGCTCGAGAACCTCCCACGGTTAGCCTGACGGCAAAGAAACTGTAACCTATGATCCCTCTACCACTGAGGATATTTTCCTTCAGCACTGTGGTCGGTGAAAGCCTGGTGAGGAATTCGTATCGACCAGCTATCGTGACTCTATTGCATATTAAATTGAAGGCGATGGTGGTAGCGCCGTTGGCTGCTCACTTCACTTGCGAACTTGCGAGTTATAAATTCAATTTTAGAAGTCGCCTAAACAATCAGTGTAAATACACAGTAAGGTTCACGTTAAATCTATTGTGGCTAAAAGTGCCATGTAGATTGTGATGCAAAAGTTTAGAGAGAAGGATACCAGATCAGGCGTTGAGCACGTTATCTGATCAAGGCCATAATTACATAGTATTCCTACCACACTTAATAAACGATGAAGACCTGAAAAAAGGGACTAGGTGCTTAGCCATGGTTTGGTGAAGTGAATTTTATGCGATATTGCTCCAACAGATCAAAAAAGGAGGTAAACGGGATCTAAATTCATTATCTAAATTAGAAGACAAAAATAAATTATCTAAAACAAATTTATGTTATTAAGTCGCCAAAAAAATTAATATTAATTAAAATTTAGAGTTAATTGAACAAAAAGTAAAAATTTTATTTAAGATATTATTGAACCTTAAATTTGAACTAAACTTATAATCGATGGATTTTTAAGTTTAATATCGTTTAAAATTTATTAAATAAAAGACTTCATTAGTTTTAGAGTGAATCTTAATAAATCTAGACTCACTTTTTCTTGAGACTCGTTTTATTTTTAAGTTATTTGTAAAGTGTCTTTATCATAAAAGTAACATTATATTTAAGTTTGAAATAAATGGATATTTTTTTAAAAAAAATATTTTTTGGGGATTTTTTTTCTTCAGTTTTTATTTTTATTAATAATTATTTATTCATAGTTGCAAAAAATATATTTATCTTTTTCGAGAACTTCAGTTTATAGATTACACCGTGCTTGATATCATAAACGAAAAAAAATTGAATAAATAAAAAAACTAAGGTTAGATGTTGCCAGAAATAAATCTTAACGTTTAATATTAAAATTTTTAAAAATATTAAAGATTCAAGAGACATAAATTTTTTTTTTCAATTCAAACTGAAGGTTATCATTACATAATGTTAATAAGTAAAATAACTTATATTTTCCTGTTTTTGATTGTGTTGCACATTTAGCATTATTAAGATTAAATATTTTTCACTAGTACAGTTGAAATTTTCAAATGCAGCTAATTGTTACAATTGAGATATCATTATATTAATACATATCATTGCAATAACTATATATTTTATAAACAAAGATGATCTTTTTTCCCTTGATAATGAAAAGTAATAAGATACACTGACTATTAAGCAAAGAAAAAGAATTATGACTGTGAATCGGTGCGAGCAAAGGGTAGGGTCTCAAAATCCATTAAAAAATAGAAGAAATAAATTATAAAATATATAAATTTTTAAGAAAAAAATATGTAAAACACAGAAAAAAATATATAAATAGATAGAAATTTTTTTTAAAAAAAATATTCCCTAAGTAAAATTGATTTATAACAGACTGATGCAGAAACCATCAATTGTGTAATCAAAGAAACTAAAAATAAGTTGCAACTATAAATGGTATTCTTAAAAATATTTAAAAGCTTATGTAACTGTATGCTAAATTTTGAATTTCATGAAATCTTCAGCATTTTAGTACATTTAAATATTACTTATTAGCTGTAGAAATATTGTTTGTTATTAATTTAAATATACTTTATTTCTTAACATTTAATTTATTAGATGTAAAAATAAAATTAAATCTATCTTATTATTCTTCACGTCACATTCCTAGTATAAAAACAGCTTAATTCAAATTAAATACAACTTCTAACAGAGAATATTATTTCTAACAGAGAATATTAAAATCATATCAAATTTTTATAGTTCAACTTGAAGTTTACATTGGAATATTTTTTAGTTTTGTACACATAATGTAACAAAATTAAAACCAATATCAAATTAAATTCAAACTGATTTTCTACTGAAGAAAAAAAATAACACATTCAACCGAAACGGTTTTCTTTAAATACACTCGTATGTATCATTGGCTTCTTGATTAATCATATTTTATGGATGAGTTATAACACAAAACAAAGAGTAAGCATAAAATTTTGGAAGCCACAAGTATTAAATTAGATTGAATCATATCATCATCATTTAAAAACACACAGTNTTTAAAAAAAAAAGGAAAAATAAAGTGTAAAATTCAAAAAATTGCCTCATTCCCTGTAGTTCTTTTAATTATAGCAATGTTTATAAATCTTTAAAAAAAAGATGGAGGAAAACTTTTTCCAAGGTTTTATCTCAACTTATTCAATAAATTACTTTATTAAGCTACTTATAAAAATTATCAAAACATGGAGTTGGAGATGATTTATTTTATTTTAAGCATTTACAATTATCATTACTTAACCTTAACTTTTTCACATTAATACTTCATATAGATATTTTTGCTTTTGCAATGATATGTAAATAATGCAATGATATGTGAATATTTATTCATCACCATTTAAATTAATAGTGATTCACCGAATCAATTAAACTTGAAATAAAAAGAACAAAAAGTTACAGGAATTTTTCATATTTTCTTAATTTAGTTCCCTCCAGAGTAAAAATACATAAGTAATAAAAAATTTATGAAGGAAAAAGAGTTTTTTTTTAGAAAAAAGCCAGGCCAATCCAATTTAATCCAATTGGTTTGGATTATGCTTTCAATTATGATTATGAAATACCAACATAAATTTTACACTTATTAATTGTTATACTTATCTTGATGAAAAATTTACATTGTTACTCCATTGAATGGCAACAACAATTTTATAATGACAAAATATGTATTTAAAATTATTTACATATCTATCAACATTGGAGAAATAAAATAACTGATGTTTTACTAGCAACATTTTTTAGGCTATGAGTAATGTTTTGATACATCATGCATAATCATGTAAATCGAGAAGAGGAATTCAAAATTGGAAATAATATAAGCACATAAATTTAGAAAAATAAAAAAATATGTATATAAATCTTAATCTAAAGAAGATTTTATAAACTATTACATATTTATAATTTCATTTATAACTGAACAGTCGAACAGAACCGTTGAACAGTCGACCCAATTTTGGGTTTATGACTATATTGCTCCAACAGATCAAAAAAGGAGGTAAATGGGATCTAAATTCATTATCTAAATTAGAAGACAAAAATAATTTATTTAAAACATATTTATATTATTAAGTTGTCAAAAAAATTACTATTAATTAAAATTTAGAGTTAATTGAACAAAAAGTAAAAATTTTATTTAAGATATTATTGAACCTTAAATTTGAACTAAACTTATAATAGATGGATTTTTAAGTTTAATATTGTTTAAAATTTATTAATTAAAAGACTTCATTAGTTTTAGAGTGAATCTTAATAAATCTAAACTCACTTTTCCTTGAGACTCGTTTTATTTTTAAGTTATTTGTAAAGTGTCTTTATCATAAAAGTAACATTATATTTAAATTTGAAATAAATGGATATTTTTTTTCAAAAAATATTTTCTTTTTGAGAGTTTTTTTCTTCAGTTTTTAATTTTTTATTAACAATTATTTATTCATTGTTGTAAAAAATATATTTATCTTTTTCAAGAACTTCAGTTTATAGCTTCCACCGTGCTTGATATCATAAACGAAAAAAATTGAATAAATAAAAAAAACTAAGGTTAGATGTTGCCAGAAATAAATCTTAACGTTTAATATTAAAATTTTTAAAAATATTAAAGATTCAAGAGACATAAAAAAAATTTTTCAATTCGAACTGAAGTTTTTGAACTGAAGGTTATCATTGCATAATGTTAATAAGTAAAATAACTTATATTTTCCTGTTTTTGATTGTGTTGCACATTTAGCATTATTAAGATTAAATATTTTTTACTAGTACACTTGAAATTTTCAAATGCAGCTGATTGTTACGATTGAGATATCATTATATTAATACATATCATTGCTATAACTATATATTTTATAAACAAAGATGATTTTTTTCCCTTGATAATGAAAAGTAATAAGATACACTGACTTTTAAGCAAATAAAAAGAATTATGACTGTGAATCGGTGCGAGCAAAGGGTAGGGTCTCAAAATCCATTAAAAAATAGAAGAAATATATTATAAAATATAGATATTTTTAAGAAAAAAATACATAAAACATAGAAAAAAATATATAAATAGATAGAAATTTTTTTAATAAAAATATTCCCTAAGTAAAATTGATTTATAACAGACTGATGTAGAAACCATCAATTGTGTAATCAAAAAAACTAAAAATAAGTTGCAACTATAAATGGTATTCTCAAAAATATTTAAAAGTTTCTGTAACTGTATGCTAAATTTTGAATTTTATGAAAGCTTTAGTATTTTAGTACATTTAAATATTATTCATTGGCTGTAGAAATATTGTTTGTTATTAATTTAAATATACTTTATTTCTTAACATTTAATTTATTAGATGTGAAAATAAAATTAAATCTATCTTATTATTCCTCACGTCACATTCCTAGTATAAAAACAGCTTAATTCAAATTAAATACAACTTCTAACAGAGAATATTATTTCTAACAAAGAATATTAAAATCATATCAAAATTTTTATAGTTCAATTTGAAGTTTACATTGGAATATTTTTAGTTTTGTGTACATAATGTAACAAAAATAACACCAATATCAAATTAAATTCAAACTGATTTTCTACTGAAGAAAAAAAATAACAATTTCAACCGAAACTTTTTTCTTTAAATACACTTGTATGTATCATTGGCTTCTTGATTAATCATATTTTATGGATGAGTTATAACACACAACAAAGAGTAAGCATAAAATTTTGGAAGCCACAAGTATTAAATTAAATTGAATCATATCATCATCATTTAAAAACACATAGTATGCTTTAGCAGTCTTTAATATTTTGTTTTCCAACATAAAAAATAGAATACGTTTTACATTTAAATAAATTCGGTAATTAATGTAAAATTAATCTTCATGATATATTAATATAAAGACAAATTAAAATAATTATATTTCTGAAACAAATATTACTTTCACAAATGAATTTCATTATTGCGCTTTCAAATTTCTGTTAAAAAAAATCTGGAAAATATCAGAATTGATCAATATTTACACTCTGTATTTTGTATTAGAATCTATTCCTTCTGGCCACGCACTACACACTAAAACCCGTTGATGATTGGTTAAATCTGAAACTCAACCCTCTTTTAAATGTCTTATCTTTTGTTTAGCGGTAAATCCCTGTTTCTTCGGAAACTAGATTCCTAAAGCTTGAGGAATCTCCTATTCTAGATTTAGATTTTTTTCAGGAAAATCAACTTTGACTCCACAAATTCCCTGGTAGGATCCCAAGAATTTACAGTATATTCAAGTTATGAAATCAGTAAATAAAGTAGAAACCTTTAAATGAAAAAAAATTAAAAACTATCATAAGAAATAGCAAGTAATGGATGTCGATATTTCCTAATCTAACATCTTGAATCAAGTATAAACAGGAGTTGTATGTAAATAATTAGGAATTTATTATTATGAAAATTAATATTATGAAAATGGTAAATAAACTAAGAATTTTAAATAAAAAAAATGTGGGGATAGTAGTTATCGATAATCCCAACTTTCATTTTGAAAAGGTACCCCAACATAGTATAGAGTTAACATGTCATATATTAGTGAATTGAAATTGTATTTTTTGTAGTGGTAGATACACTACAGTACACCCCCACCGGAATTTTATCTGTGATAGAATTCAATGAATAGATACAACTAATAGATTCATTGCTGTTTTGTGAGAAGTTGGGAGAGCTGTATTAAGATCACCATACTTTTGTGTGTTGATCGTGAGAGCTGTATTAAGTTCACGATCGAGGTCACTCATGTGTTGCCATCAGCACTTCAGGCCAACGTTATGTGTGGTCGAGACTGAGTAGCAACGACGTGAGGAGGTGATTAATGTCGCAGTCACAAGTGGCAAGTCAACTGTTTAATGAGGAATCCATAAAAGTAGGCGTGTTCAAATCAAAGTGGAAGTTTCTGCCAAAGTCGACATGTTCTCATCGCGTCCAAAGGTCACCAAAGTGAGGAGAGGAATTGTCGACAATGTCAACCTTTATCTATGAAAATGTACCCCACCATAGAATCACGTTAACATACTTATATATTAGTGAATTGGAATTGTATTTTTGTAGTGGTAGACGCACTGCAACGTACAAACTAATGAAATAATGAATGTCAATATTTCCTAATATTTTTGAATCCGGATCAACCAGAAGTTATAGACAGACAATCAGAAGTATATCAGTGGTGATCGCGAGCCCAACTCAAAAATCCTGAAAATTTCTTGAATAAAATCATTGACACATTTCTAAAAATAATGTCTTTATAAATTTAAGCGACTGCAATTTTCAAAACATGAAATTCTAAGTAAATTACATGTAGCATAACTTAAATAAATAATTATGTATAAGTTTATTTTTATCTGTAATCACATTTATTATTCTACCAGAAAAAATATTTACAAATGAAAAATAGGTCAAGCATAAATTCTAGTTCTAATATTTCTAAATAAAATATACAAAAGTTTTTATGCATAAATGTAATCGATGATTTTTTAAAACTTCTGGGCCGTGGATTTCTCGCGATTAGGAAGAAATACCGAAATCCTTATTTTTCCAGAAGCACATTTCTATTAATATTATTGATTCAACCATCATCTCACCCTAACTGTCAATATGGGGAAAAAGGTGAGGCTTAACAGTTGTGGTATTCTAAAGCTCAGGAAATAATTTTTGTCTTTTTGCAAAAATGGAAACACATGAAGAGAAAGAATGTGTTAGATAGAATAAACTTGGAGATTTTTGTCTGCTTTGGAACACTAAAAATGTTATGTAAAGCAGAATCAATTGGGGAACCACTAATTTATTTATTTTACTTACCTTTTTACGTGCTTGATAACATGTTCAATGCAAAAAAAGTTTAAGAGCATTTGCAAAAATTGTGAAAAGTGAACACTAAAAAGTTGCAAGTGTTGGGTTAAAAATCAATTTGATGAAAAGTGGGATATACGAATATTAAAAAAATGGTAAATAAACTAAAGCTTTTAAATAAAAACCAAACAAAAATGTTTTATCAAAAGAAATAATGAAGTAAACAGCTTAAATATTTTTCCTTATTTAGAAGAATATTAGTTAAAACAAAGAATATAATAATAGTTTGCACACAGTAACAAAAATAATTAAAAACAATATGGAACATAAAACTTACTAACCTCACCTTGGGACTGTGTTACAACAAAAGATCTGTGTTTCTCAAAGTTTTTGTC